TCGTGGTCTCCTAGCCCGGCCATCCTCGTCCTAATTGTCGCCCCTCGTGTCGCGAGGGATAGGAATCCATTGGGATATCTGTGAGGGCAGGGCGCCCTGAGTGGCACTGAGGGGTGAGTCACTGCGCGCCAATCGTGGGGTGAGACTGACGGCTGAGTCACTGGCGCATCACCCGTGGGGTGAGACTGACGGCTGAGTCACTGCGTGCGAATCGTGGGGCGAGTGCCCAGATGCCCGCGTTCGCCGTTGCGTCACGAGGAAGAGGCCCCCCCCGCCCACACCCCCCCGCCCCGCCCGCCCCTCCCCCCGCTCACCCCCCCCCGGCCCCCCCCGCACCTCCCTGACCACCCCCCCGGCCCCCCCACACCCCCCCCCCCCGACCACTCCCGCCCACTGACCCCCAGCCCCACTTCGCTTATGGAAGAGAAATGGCGTGGGACTTGTTGTGAACAACAATCTTGACAGAGGCATTTGCCTTTTATCCCCCCCCCCCCCCCCCACGTGCAGCGGAGGTCACGGCATCTCAGGCACTTTTGTTGTTGTTGTTGCACTGACGGTCCAAGCGCCAGACGTTTATAATTCTCACAGTTGAGCTTGTAGCCAAATGGAGTGCGAAATCTAATTTTCATTTGATGTTTTTTTTTTTTACGGAGTCCTTGGTGACAGGGCTGAGACAATCGACTCCCTGTACTTGACAACCTGGTTTAAATGACAATGCAGTCTATGCGAGTCTGTGCGTCTCTATGTGAGTCTATTGATCACTATGTGAGTCTGTGGGTCTCTAGTGAGTCTATGGATCTCTGTGTGAGTCTATGGATCTCTGTGTGAGTCTATGGATCTCTGTGCGAGTCTACGTATCTCTATGTGACTATATGGGTGTCTATGTGAGTCTATGGGTCTCTGCGCGAGTCTGTGGGCCTCTGTGTGAGTCACCGGTGACCAGGCTGAGACCATCAACCACCTTGCATGAAAGAACGCGGTTAAACCACAGGCAGCGGCTGGAACCCAGATTCGAACCCAGCCCCTCAGCTGTGCCGGCGCACAGCCCCTGTCCTCCAAGTCGCCCTCTCATCATGAAGGCCCCATCACGTGGCTTAATTGAAACCGCTCGTGTCAAATGACGTGAAGAAATTTGTCCCGTCCCCCCCCCCTCCCCTCCCCTCCAAAAAAAAAATATATTACTTACGTTCTCATTAGGGGAAGAACATTTTGTCAGCTTCGAGCGCGCAACCACAAGCACTCCTCGAAAAGTATTTAATTAGGCGCGCGGAACAAAACACCGCAGGAGCAATATTGCCACGAAGGTTGTCGATACTGCCTTTTCCCACCGCGATCAAACGATGGGCAAACGGAGCACAAAGAAATAGCTCCCTCGTCTCGAACGAAACCGCAAACGAGGGGACCAAAAAAACCTTCGGGTCAATAACACCGTGACCTTAAGCAAAAGAGTTTCAAATAGACGGCGTTTCTGGCAGTGGCCCTCTTGGTGCACCGTGCCACCTCGCCGCTGATCTCGTCAAGGGAGCATGAACCATCGTCACGCGACACTCTGGTCACGCTCGCAGCTGGCTCAGCCATCGAACAAAGACGGTAGCTATGCGACCAAATATGCAGCAGCAGGCGTCGGCAGGCGTCGGCAGGGCCGTATTATCCAATAGGTCACAGTAGGAACTGTGCCTAGAGCCTACTCACTCACCCACCCACCAGGGCAGTATTATCCAATAGGTCACAGTAGGAACTGTGCCTAGAGCCTACTCACTCACCCACCCACCAGGGCAGTATTATCCAATAGGTCACAGTAGGAACTGTGCCTAGAGCCTACTCACTCACCCACCCACCAGGGCAGTATTATCCAATAGGCCACAGTAGGAACTGTGCCTAGAGCCTACTCACTCACCCACCCACCAGGGCAGTATTATCCAATAGGTCACAGGAGGAACTGTGCCTAGAGCCTACTCACTCACCCACCCACCAGGGCCGTATTTTCCAATAGGTCACAGTAGGAACTGTGCCTAGAGCCTACTCACTCACCCACCCACCAGGGCAGTATTATCCAATAGGTCACAGTAGGAACTGTGCCTAGAGCCTACTCACTCACCCACCCACCAGGGCAGTATTATCCAATAAGCCACAGTAGGAACTGTGCCTAGAGCCTACTCACTCACCCACCCACCAGGGCAGTATTATCCAATAGGTCACAGGAGGAACTGTGCCTAGAGCCTACTCACTCACCCACCCACCAGGGCAGTATTATCCAATAGGCCACAGTAGGAACTGTGCCTAGAGCCCACTCACTCACCCACCCACCAGGGCAGTATTATCCAATAGGCCACAGTAGGAACTGTGCCTATAGCCTACTCACTCACCCACCCACCAGGGCAGTATTATCCAATAGGTCACAGTAGGAACTGTGCCTAGAGCCTACTCACTCACCCACCCACCAGGGCAGTATTATCCAATAAGCCACAGTAGGAACTGTGCCTAGAGCCTACTCACTCACCCACCCACCAGGGCAGTATTATCCAATAGGTCACAGGAGGAACTGTGCCTAGAGCCTACTCACTCACCCACCCACCAGGGCAGTATTATCCAATAGGCCACAGTAGGAACTGTGCCTAGAGCCCTCTCACTCACCCACCCACCAGGGCAGTATTATCCAATAGGTCACAGTAGGAACTGTGCCTAGAGCCTACTCACTCACCCACCCACCAGGGCAGTATTATACAATAGGCCACAGTAGGAACTGTGCCTAGAGCCTACTCACTCACCCACCCACCAGGGCAGTATTATCCAATAGGCCACAGTAGGAACTGTGCCTAGAGCCTACTCACCCACCCACCAGGGCAGTATTATCCAATAGGCCACAGTAGGCACCCTGCATTGGGGCTTACTCTCTCATTCACCCACTCACCCAGCCATCCACTCACTCACTCACCCACTTACTCATTCACTCACCCAGCCACCTACTCACTCGTTCACTCACTCACTCACCCACTTACTCATTCACCCAGCAACACACTTATTCGACCCACTCACTCACCCAGCCACCTACTCACTCATTCACCCACTCACCCACCCACTCACTCGTTCACCCAGCCACACACTCATTGACCCACTCACTCACCCAGCCACCTACTCTCACCCATTCACCCACCCACTCACCCACCCAGCCACCCACTCACTCGTTCAACCACTCACCCACCCACTCACATATTCACCCAGTCACCGTTGGTTTATCACCAAAGGCCTGAAAACAGAAGTGCAGAGGGCCTAATAAGAACCTTAATTCGGCTCTGGGATGCCGGGATCGAACCCCCGACCATTGGATTATCACCAAAGGCCTACGAAACAGAAGTGCAGGGGGCCTGACAAGAACCTTAATCCGACCCTGGGATGTCGAGATCGAACCCCCGACCGTTGGATTATCACCGAAGGCCTACGAAACAGAAGTGCAGAGGGCCTAACAATAACCTTAATCTGGCCCCAGAGGTCGGGATCGAACCTCCGACCTCCGAAGGGAGTAGAACCCCATGACGTCTCTCGTGTCACCGCAGAGCCGCACATCGTCCGTGAGAAGACGTCGACGCTGCTCCGGACGAGGAGGAGATGGGAGGAGGAGAGCGCGAGGGCTGCGGAGGAGGAGGAGGTGGAGGAGGAGGTGGTGGAAGAGGAGGAGGAAGAGGAGAAGTCAGCGCAACCACAATCCGCGCAGTAAGTCTCGCAAGCTCGTCATTTCTTTCAAAACGAAGTTCTTTCGAACTGATTTTTGTGTATTTAGTTTGTCCTTCCCCCCGCACCTCCGATTAGCACAGTTGGCTACGTATGGTGCGAAACAATGTCAGCATACATACATAGTGGGAACACGCGTTAGCGGGAACGTGCGTCAGGAGGAACGCGCGCGCGTTAGCGGGAACACGAGCATTGCCGCTAGCGAGAGTGTCACCACCAATATGGGTGGATCAAAAACTGTTAGTGCGCAGAGGAGCGCTGCGAGAAAGCGTGCTTCGAATGTCAATGAGCGACGGAAAGAGGACAACGTGCATTAGAGAACGCGCGCAGGATAAATTTTGATTGAAAGCTTTCGCGACTGCAGGGATTCATATTCTTGGTTCTTTCAGTAAAGTCACCACGTGGAAGGGAAACAGTAAAATAATAAAAATATGAAACAATAAAATTCTCACGACGTTTCGACTGCAGCACAAGCAGTCGTCGTCAGGTGTGAAAACCATCATCAGGTGTGATGATGGTTGCTTGTGTTGCAGTCGAAATGTCGTGAGAATTGTATTGTTTTATATTTTTATTATTTTGTTGTTTCCCTTCTACGTGACTTTACCGAAAGAACCAAGAATATGAACCTCTTGTATTCATGGTTCTTTCAGTAAAGTCACGTAGAAGGGAAACAATAAAATAATAAAAATATAAAACAATAAAATTCTCACGACGTTTCGACTGCAACACAAGCAATCATCATCAGGTGTGAAAACCATCATCAGGTGTGATGATGGTTGCTTGTGTTGCAGTCGAAACGTCGTGAGAATTTTATTGTTTTATATTTGTATTATTTTATTGTTTCCCTTCTACGTGACTTTACCGAAAGAACCAAGAATATGCACGCAGGTTAGTTACATCACCCAAACTTAACCCCTTCCCGTATCCCGAGACGTCTGCAAGTTGAAGGGTGGGTGGGTGTCCCGACAACCGCTGAATCTCGGAACGCGCGAACGGCTCAGCGTTAATTTTATTTAAAGTGGAGAGGTTTAGTAGCCGCAGCGCCGTTTGTTCTCATAAAGACGTCGTTACTCATCACCGCGGAGAACCGCGCCGACACGACCGCCGTCCACTCTACGATAGCCGGCGGCAAAACTGCGCCACACGCCCTCCCGCACGGCCATGTGGGAGCCTCGGCACCGATCAAGTTATTTTTTTATCCTGCGTACGAGTACGTCATCGGAACGGAATCGGAAGAAAGGGTTAAGAAGGGTGAGTGGGGGTGCATGGGCGGGACGCGTCGCGGACAGAAATGGGAACGACGGCCGATTTGGTCGAGACTGAGCACGGAGCGGCAGGCCAAGGGACGGAAACGCGTCGGAGAGGAGGGCGTGCACCGGCAGGAGACGGAGCGATGAGATCGGTTCGTGTTGCAGCTGCTCGCCGGCTAGTAGCATCGCAGGATCGCGAGAGGAGGCGGCGGCGGTGGCGGTTCGGGGGGAGGCCTTCATCCAGCAGTGGATAAGGCCACGACCGACGCGGTACCGGTGCCTCGCACGCAAACAAAGGCAAAAGTCGCCCGCGCGGCCTTAACATACTGTTGGGGCGAGCGCTGTTTGCGAGCAGCACCAATGGAGGCCGGCACGGCACACACGAGGGGGTGAGTGGCCAGCGCCACGCCCGGTCGCCTTTGTCTCCCTAGTGAAGATATTTATACACAGCACCAGGTACCAATTTGAGGCTGAGTCCACCTAGGGGAGGGCCAGGACCGGTTAAAATGATTGTCGCTGCTGTTGGTGGCCGTGAGCGGGAATCGAACTCGGGTCTGCGGGTTCGATGCGCAGCGCGCTTACCGCCACGCACACGCGCACACCCGCGCACGCTCCCCCCGCCCTCGCAGTGTCTGGCCCGGACTGCCGCATCCGCCGGGAGAGACGGGGGCTTCTGCTTCTCCCGTATCCACGGCGACCGGCAGTACCAAGGAGATGCAGGCGGTCGTCACGGCGACTGTAACCACGGCGAAGAGCACAAGAGGGCACCGGGCCACGGTGGTCGCCCGCGATCGCGCCTATCGGGTGAGCGTCGGGTCGTACCTTATTGCCGCGCGTGCATTTTGGCGCGATGCCCGACGTTTCGCTCCACGTGCCGCAGAAGGAGAAGCTCCCCGGGGCCAAAGGAGCTCCCGGCAACATGTGAGCGAAACGTCGGACGTCGTCGCGAAGTGACGAGGTGAACACGCGGACAATGCTCCTCCTTCCCACATCTGCAGGTTGGTGTTTCAACTAAGTTCCTTGAAAGATTACAACTTGTTCAGAATGCGGCAGTCAAGGTTTTCACGCGAACCCCATTACGTGACCGGATATCTCCAGTTCTCTTATCATTACAATGGCTTCCGGTCTCGAAACGAGTAGACGTTTGAGAGCCTCCTGCTGTTTTTTCAAAGCCTTGCACGGGCTGGCACCACCACCATGCTTTTCACGAGTTGAGTCATCCATACCACACCCTCAAGGTCGTTAAGATCTGCCGACTCCGGCCCTGCTACCACGATCCCGGCTGCGTTCCTGGGGCGAGCGGTCGTGGAATTGCCTGCCGTTGGAAATTCGTTTATCCGACAGTGTGGATACTTTTAAAGTCTTGCCTTTGAAACCACATCTTCTTAAATCAGTTTATTGCTTATCCTTGTTCTGACAAGGCGTCTTGAGACATTGGCGGAAGACGCCTTACAGACAAATGTAAATTATTACTCTTATTTTCTCTCGCTCGACATACAAAAACGATTTTGTTTAGACATCCCATCAGCCCACACAGCTCCTCCCTCCCACCTGGGAGTGCACCAATGCAATCAACGCTCTCTGTACAGGTGTCGACATTCGGAGTCTCATCAGCAGTGTCGCGCTCGATCGAACAGATGCAGGTGACCGGCAAGATATCCGTTTGATTTGTACTTCTTGGCTATATATGTAGTGACTAACTCGGAGACACTAAGAGATGGAGGCACTCTTTTATTGACACGCACCAACGGTTAACACTTCCAATAAAACCGCCTAGAGTCGACTACGGTTCCCAGTCAGGACAGCTGGCAGACTGCCTGACTGGTGATGCCCGAGAAGGTGAAGACGGAGACCACGGTGAAGACTCCAGCAGCAGCACGACAGGGAACCCCGCTCCACACGACAGCCCCGAGGTCCCCTCCCGGGGCCCCTCTTATACTGCCAGCGTGGCTCGGCTCCGCCCCCCGGCCACGCCCCCTTTCTAGAACCTACCCGCGGGTTCCTGGTGTGCCCTTTCCGTGACCTTTCCCCTACATCCCCCTCTGGTGTGTCACGTGACCTGCTGCCGTCAGGGCTGCTGTAAGCTGCAGATCCTCTTCCCAGCCAGCAGCCAGCGCTATGCTGCTACATTGCTAATTCCATGTCACTACACATCTATATGCCAAGGCCGAAAACAACAGGCCACTTTCCTGACACGACACGCATGCAAACGGAGGGTCGGGAAGCGTGTCGAGGCCTCTGATTGGTGCAGAGAGGCCTCAAAGAGGATGGGTTAGGGCCAGAGGAATTCAACGGATTGGAGTGGAGATATTCCGACGTAAAAGGCAGGGAAGCGAGGGTGGACTGTCGAGGGGAGGGGGGGAGGGTGGAGACGGTCAACAACCCTTGGACAAGGAGGACGGCGATTGGCTGTAGGGGAATGGGGTGAGCGAAGCTTCGAGGAAGGGGGCCCCGGACGATTAAGCTCGTGCGGGGCCTTTAGCAAATGTTATAAAAGGGCCCTAAAAAAACACGTAAATATATCAACATTTTTTTTTACTTGCACAGTAAAGTAATTTTTTTTTTATCATTTGCTATACAGCCAGATAATAGGACAAACCGCTAACCTGAAACACCCAGTCGTTCGTACAAGTTCAAGGCTGTATAGTACTATACAGCCAGAATCGCTGAACCGGGGTCGAAGCACTTAGCGCGGGGCCCTTGGATGTGCGGGGCCCGTAGCATACGCAGCTACTCTTGCTACGAGGATAATCCGGCACTGGGCATCTCGAGGGATACCAACGAGGGAATGGGGACGCTCGGAGAGAAGACGACGTCTCGCCCGCGAGGAACCCAAGCGCGGTTCGTCGGGGAGCGAGCGTTTGCGTCCACGACACAAATCGCTCGGTTTTTCTAAGCGGTCGCCGGCGAACGGCTTTCCGGAGCGGTGCAGTGACACGGTGACGCGGCGGCGTACCCTCAGCTATCTGTACCGCCGTCTCACCGCGCCGCGTGTGCCCGGCAGCAGCAGCAGCAGTCGTGCGTCGTACCGCGCCGAGCTTTATCGTGAGACGTTACTCGCGGTGGTGGGTTGGGGTGGGTGGGAATCGTTTTCGCTCAGCGCGGTTTTTTTTCCCCCTTTCGCGCGGCACCTTGCGGGAACGCATCGACTACCGGCAGGGCGTCGTCGAACGAGGACTCGCGGTAACGTGCGTGTGTGCCGTGCGTGTGCCGTGCGTGCGTGTGTCGTCTGTCGTGCATGCGCAAGGAGTACCGGGCGTTCGTCGACGGGGAGACGGAAGGCATCCGCGTGCTGCGGGAGCGTCGGCTCGCGTCGGCGGAGCGCTGGGAGCGATGCTGGGCCGAGTCGGTGCGGAGGGTGAGCGCCCTCTACCAGCGCTGACGGCGGCGGGAGCAACGGACAAAGGGAGGCGACAAAATCACTCGAGCCACGCGTAGCCTCAATCAACTCGCCTGCGTCTGTGTCATTTATGGTGATCGTAATAACAGCGACCACGGTATGGGATAACGATTTGCGTGGATTTGGTACTGGATCGCCGTTCTCTCGCTGGGACGGCCGGCAGTGGTGCTGCTGTTTGGTCAACATACACACACACATACACACATACATATATACATACACACACATACACACACACATATATACACACACACACATACACACACACATACATACACACATACACACACATACACATACATACACACATACATACACACATACACACACACATACACACACATGCATACACACACATACACACATACATACACATACATACATACACACACATACATACACACACATACATACACACATACACACACATACATACACACACATACATACACATACATACATACACACACATACATACACACATACACACACATACATACACACATACATACACACACATACATACACACATACATATACATACATACACATACATACACACACATACACATATATACACACATACATACACACACACATACACATACATACATACATACACACATACACACACACATACATACACACATACACACACACATACACACACATACACACGTACACACACATACACACACATACATACACACACATACACACACATACATACACACATATACATACACATACATACATACACAGACATACACACACATACATACACACATACATACACACATATATACATACACATACATACACACACATACATACACACACATACATACACACATACATACATACACATACATACACACACATACATACACACATACATACACACATACATACACACACATACATACACACACATACATACACATACATACACACATACATACACACATACATACACACATACATACACATACATACACACATACATACACACACATACACACATACATACATACACATACATACACACATACATACATACACACATACATACATACATACACATACATACACACATACATACACACACATACATACACACATACATACACACATACATACACACACATACATACACACACATACATACACATACATACATACACATACATACACACACATACATACACATACATACACACATACATACACACATACATACATACACACACATACATACACACACATACATACACACACATACATACACACATACATACACACATACATACATACACATACATACACACACATACATACACACATACATACACACACATACATACACACATATACATACATACACACACATACATACACATACATACACACTCACATACATAAAAGATAAAGATCCCCCATATAGCCTTAACAGACTGTCGGGGCAAGTGCTGTTAGCGAGCACCTATGAAGGCCGGAACGGTACACGAGGGGGTGGGTGGCCAGCACCACGCCCGACCGCCTTTGTCTCCCTAGTGGCGATGTTTACTACACACCGCACCAGGCACTCAATTGAGGCCGAGCCGACCTAGGGGAGGCCCAGGACCGGTTCAGATAATCGTCACCAGTGTTGGCGCACATACACACATAAACTCATCTCTTTAGAACAGTTTGTTTGTGTTTAGTTTGTTCTCCTTCTCCGGCCTCCTCCGATTAGCGTGCTTGGCTTCGTACGGTGAAAACTGAAGTTCACGGCGCATTCGTAGCGCTAACACTCGTGTTTCATAGTTTTTCATAGTTTCATTTATGTTGGTATATCCCTGTGAGCCATTCGGCTCTTGAATCGGGTGCAACCGCAACAAACAAAAAAACAAAAACATGAACAAGAAAACATCTTAAAGTGACTGTGTGCATGTGCAAACAGAAAATCCAGGAAAAAAAAAAAACATCAAAAATGGGGGTAACACGCGAGTTTGTTGTCCTTCCTCCGCACCTGCGTGAGTCTGTGGGTCTCTGTGTCAGTGAGTGGGTCTCTGTGTGAGTGAGTCTCTGTGTGATTGAGTCTCTGTGTGAGTCTGTGGGTCTCTGTGTCAGTGAGTGGGTTTCTGTGTGAGTGAGTCTCTGTGTGAGTGTGTGGGTCTCTGTGTCAGTGAGTGGGTCTCTGTGTGAGTGAGTCTCTGTGTGAGTGTGTGGGTCTCTGTGTGAGTGGGTCTCTGTGTGAGTGTGTGGGTCTCTGTGTCAGTGAGTGGGTCTCTGTGTGAGTGAGTGGGTCTCTGTGTGAGTGAGTCTCTGTGTGATTGAGTCTCTGTGTGAGTGTGTGGGTCTCTGTGTCAGTGAGTGGGTCTCTGTGTCAGTGAGTGGGTCTCTGTGTCAGTGAGTGGGTCTCTGTGTGAGTGAGTGGGTCTCTGTGTGAGTGAGTCTCTGTGTGATTGAGTCTCTGTGTGAGTGTGTGGGTCTCTGTGTCAGTGAGTGGGTCTCTGTGTCAATGAGTGGGTCTCTGTGTCAGTGAGTGGATCTCTGTGTGAGTGAGTCTCTGTGTGATTGAGTCTCTGTGTGAGTGTGTGAGTCTCTGTGTCAGTGAGTGGGTCTCTGTGTGAGTGTGTGGGTCTCTGTGTCAGTGAGTGGGTCTCTGTGTCAGTGAGTGGGTCTCTGTGTGAGTGTGTGGGTCTCTGCGTGAGTGAGTCTCTGTGTGAGTGTGTGGGTCTCTGTGTCAGTGAGTGGGTCTCTGTGTGAGTGAGTCTCTGTGTGATTGAGTCTCTGTGTGAGTGTGTGAGTCTCTGTGTCAGTGAGTGGGTCTCTGTGTGAGTGTGTGGGTCTCTGTGTCAGTGAGTGGGTCTCTGTGTCAGTGCGTGGGTCGCTGTGTCAGTGAGTGGGTCTCTGTGTGAGTGAATCTCTGTGGGAGTGTGTGGGTCTCTGTGTGAGTGAGTCTCTGTGTGAGTGTGTGGGTCTCTGTGTCAGTGAGTGGGTCTCTGTGTGAGTGAGTCTCTGTGTAATTGAGTCTCTGTGTGAGTGTGTGAGTCTCTGTGTCAGTGAGTGGGTCTCTGTGTGAGTGTGTGGGTCTCTGTGTCAGTGAGTGGGTCTCTGTGTCAGTGAGTGGGTCTCTGTGTCAGTGAGTGGGTCTCTGTGTCAGTGAGTGGGTCTCTGTGTGAGTGAGTCTCTGTGGGAGTGTGTGGGTCTCTGTGTGACTGAGTCTCTGTGTGTGTGGGTCTCTGTGTCAGTGAGTGGGTCTCTGTGTGAGTGTGTGGGTCTCTGTGTGAGTGAGTCTCTGTGTGAGTGTGTGGGTCTCTGTGTCAGTGAGTGGGTCTCTGTGTGAGTGAGTGGGTCTCTGTGTGAGTGAGTCTCTGTGTGAGTGTGTGGGTCTTTGCGTGAGTGAGTCTCTGTGTGAGTGTGTGGGTCTCTGTGTGAGTATGTGGGTCTCTGTGTCAGTGAGTGGGTCTCTGTGTGAGTGGGCCTCTGTGTGATTGAGTCTCTGTGTGAGTGTGTGGGTCTCTGTGTGTGTGGGTCTCTGTGTGAGTCTGTGGGTCTCTGTGTCAGTGAGTGTGTGGGTCTCTGTGTGAGTGTGTGGGTTTCTGTGTGAGTGTGTGGGTCTCTGTGTGAGTCTGTGGGTCTCTGTGTCAGTGAGTGGATCTCTGTGTGAGTCTCTGTGTGATTGAGTCTCTGTGTGAGTGTGTGGGTCTCTGTGTGAGTGTGTGGGTCTCTGTGTGAGTGTGTGGGTCTCTGTGTGAGTGAGTGGGTCTCTGTGTGAGTGTGTGGGTTTCTGTGTGAGTCTGTGGGTCTCTGTGTCAGTGAGTGGGTGGGTGTCTGTGTGAGTGTGGGTCTCTGTGTGAGTGTGTGGGTCTCTGTGTGAGTGAGTCTCTGTGTGAGTGTGTGGATCTCTGTGTGAGTGTGTGGGTCTCTGTGTGAGTGTGTGAGTCTCTGTTTGAGTGGGTCTCTGTGTGAGTGTGTGGGTCTCTGTGTGAGTGGGTCTCTGAGTGTGGGTCTCTGTGTTAGTGTGTGGGTCTCTGTCAGTGTGTGGGTCTCTGCGTGAGTCTGTGGGTCTGTGTGTGAGTGTGTGGGTCTCTGTGTTAGTGTGTGGGTCTCTGTCAGTGTGTGGGTCTCTGTGT